GGGGGGAGGCTTTGCCTGCTGTGTAACCTGCTAGTAGCCGATCTGCATGGAGAGAAAGCTGTCAGCTTCAAACTTGAAGCAGACAGCTTTTTCCTCCATAATACTAGGTGAGGCTCTGCCTCACCTGACCGCACTTCCCTGCTTCAACCCTTAATGATACAGTACTGTATTATCTTCACATGTTCTATGTTTAATTTGCCTCAACAACCTAATGGTGCCCTCTTCCACCCCTAGGCCCCAGGCCCCAGGCTGCTTTGGCTATAGTTACACCACTGGATCTCATACATATTGATATATAACTGTATGGTATATTTTCTTTTCTATATAATGTCTTAGATATACAGTATCAGTGGCATCACAAGGGGGGTTCCGCCGCACCCGGGTGACACCACTGGAGGTGTGACACCAACATGACTCAAGGTCATGTTGGTGTCACCCCCTATGAAAAGTCGGGGACTCGGTCATGGACCGAGAGCCCGACAGTTGCAGGAGAGAGGAGGGTGCCCGGCGGCATACCTGATCCCGCCGGGTAAACGTCACCTCCTCTCTCTGCCGGCGTCCATCACCAAGATGGCTGCCGGCAGGTATCATCAAGATAGTCGCACATATGCAATGATGTCGCAGAGGGTTGTCACCCGGTACCCGCTTCGAGGGACACCCAGCCTTGTGACGCCCCTGTACAATGTATCTGTTTTCCTGATGAAGCAAATCATCAGATCTGAGAAACTCGTCACGCCATTGCTGCCCAACTGCAGGAATCGGGTCTTATTATGACAGGGAGAGCCATTATTGATAGTTTGGTTAATAGTGTCTGTTATGTATCTCTGGGACAAATATGAGGTGTAGAGGATGTATTCTGGATGTTCTGGGGGTATTTATTATATGAACTATCATCTTCATGATTGGGGTTATGGATATCTGAGCCAACTGTTTATAATATTCTTATATGTTTCTTATATTCTTCTGTGAAATAAAATACAATGTATTTATATCTCTGTCAGGTATTTATTGACACCCCACAAATCACATTTCCTGCTAATTCATGGGGATCCCATTGACAAAAGCGGAACAGACGAAACGTTGGGGTGTTAGTCGAGCGGTAACTGGATGTGACGTCAGCGGTGGTGCTGGAAGTGACGCAGCGGATATCGGCAGGGCCGGATTTACTCTCTCTGCTGCCCCAAGGCCAGGTTCCTCAATGCACCCCCCTACCCGCCAACCCCCCCATAGAGAATGGCAGACTTGCAGACTGCATACAAAACAAGCCGAGGCTTCCCCGCTGTAAATTTAGCTCTGCTGGGCCAAAGCCGGGCTAAATGTAGAAAACAACTACCCGCCCGACGCCCGGAACTGCATGACCCGGCCATCGGGAGATAGGAATTCCACACCCCTGCTGCCCCTCTACTCCCCGCTGCCCCGAGGCCGGGCCTTGGTTGGCCTTGTGGGAAATCCGGCCCTGGCTATCGGGTGAGACCGCAGTTTAAGGTTCCTTCTGGCACAATAGAAGCTGAGGCACTTTGTTGACGCTGGACTGTTTTAACTTCTTGTAAGCGCGTTTTTGATACAAATAAAGTGCATTTTAGTACGATGGTTTTACACTACTGGAGCCTCATTGTCTTTCCTTCTCTGTTCACCACACGTGGAGTTCCACAAATGGGGAGAGACCGGACCGGAAGCTATGTTATAAGGAAGTCATCTGTATAAAGAGAGGCATTGTTGTCTGGCGAGTCCTAGTCTGATGGGGAAGTGTTTGAGCCCGAACTTTGTTTTGAGGAGTTTAGAATTGTTGCAGCATGGAATCATCTTCATTGACCATACGCCTTGTCACATGGACTGTCAGTGGTGCTTATTTTATGTAACGCATGTTTTGTGTCTTTCTTATTATTATATTGTGTTGTAAATTTTGGGTATATTGATTTGAAGGCTGCAGCGATATTGCACATTGTAAGATATTTTTGGGGGGGATTGTAGGTCAGTAGCGCTGAGTTGGATGGTTATAAGATTATATTTCAATAAGGGTTGTGGTTCTCTGAAGGTCCATCAGTCCAATGATTACTCTGGGTGTAATAATAAAAGTCACAGTGGAGAGAGGATGGTGAAGGACAAGTCTCATGTTTGGTTGGTGGTACTCGATCCTCGTCCAATCATCGGGGGCCATGCTTGAATTAGGCTGGGATGGGGGTTGTGCGTGTCCACTCCTGCGTCTTATTAGTATATGAGAACACACACTGACGGTCTATAAACATCTATTCCTGTGTACAATATACTAATTCCAGGGAGGGAGCTGAGAACCCCGCCGGTGGCAGCAGCCCTCAGCTCTTCACAGTGATACAAATAGAATAATTACAGTTTATGACGGGGAGTTTGATGGAGTAATGACAGCGAGTAACAATGGAGTAATGACAGCGAGTAACAATGGAGTAATGACAGCGAGTAACAATGGAGTAATGACAGCGAGTAACAATGGAGTAATGACAGCGCGTAACAATGGAGTAATGACAGCGAGTAATGGTGGAGTGTAATGTTAGTGAGTCATGATAAGTTACCATAGCGTGTAATGAGAGAATACATTTGGTCAGTAATAATGGAGTCATGTTGGTAATAATGGAGTCATGTTAGTTAGTAATGATGGAGTTATGTTGGGGAATGATGATGGAGTCAAAGGTTGTCAGTAATAATGGTGTCATGTTGGTGAGTAATGATGGAGTCATGTTGGTCAGTAATGATGGAGTCATGTTGGTCAGTAATGATGGAGTCATGTTGGTCAGTAATGATGGAGTCATGTTGGTCAGTAATGATGGAGTCATGTTGGTCAGTAATGATGGAGTCATGTTGGTCAGTAATGATGGAGTCATGTTGGTCAGTAATGATGGAGTCATGTTGGTCAGTAATGATGGAGTCATGTTGGTCAGTAATGATGGAGTCATGTTGGTCAGTAATGATGGAGTCATGTTGGTCAGTAATGATGGAGTCATGTTGGTCAGTAATGATGGAGTCATGTTGGTCAGTAATGATGGAGTCATGTTGGTCAGTAATGATGGAGTCATGTTGGTCAGTAATGATGGAGTCATGTTGGTCAGTAATGATGGAGTCATGTTGGTCAGTAATGATGGAGTCATGTTGGTCAGTAATGATGGAGTCATGTTGGTCAGTAATGATGGAGTCATGTTGGTCAGTAATGATGGAGTCATGTTGGTCAGTAATGATGGAGTCATGTTGGTCAGTAATGATGGAGTCATGTTGGTCAGTAATGATGGAGTCATGTTGGTCAGTAATGATGGAGTCATGTTGGTCAGTAATGATGGAGTCATGTTGGTCAGTAATGATGGAGTCATGTTGGTCAGTAATGATGGAGTCATGTTGGTCAGTAATGATGGAGTCATGTTGGTCAGTAATGATGGAGTCATGTTGGTCAGTAATGATGGAGTCATGTTGGTCAGTAATGATGGAGTCATGTTGGTCAGTAATGATGGAGTCATGTTGGTCAGTAATGATGGAGTCATGTTGGTCAGTAATGATGGAGTCATGTTGGTCAGTAATGATGGAGTCATGTTGGTCAGTAATGATGGAGTCATGTTGGTCAGTAATGATGGAGTCATGTTGGTCAGTAATGATGGAGTCATGTTGGTCAGTAATGATGGAGTCATGTTGGTCAGTAATGATGGAGTCATGTTGGTCAGTAATGATGGAGTCATGTTGGTCAGTAATGATGGAGTCATGTTGGTCAGTAATGATGGAGTCATGTTGGTCAGTAATGATGGAGTCATGTTGGTGAGTAATGATGGAGTCATGTTGGTCAGTAATGATGGAGTCATGTTGGTGAGTAATGATGGAGTCATGTTGGTCAGTAATGATGGAGTCATGTTGGTGAGTAATGATGGAGTCATGTTGGTGAGTAATGATGGAGTCATGTTGGTGAGTAATGATGGAGTCATGTTGGTGAGTAATGATGGAGTCATGTTGGTGAGTAATGATGGAGTCATGTTGGTGAGTAATGATGGAGTCATGTTGGTCAGTAATGATGGAGTCATGTTGGTCAGTAATGATGGAGTCATGTTGGTCAGTAATGATGGAGTCATGTTGGTGAGTAATGATGGAGTCGTGTTGGTCAGTAATGATGGAGTCATGTTGGTCAGTAATGATGGAGTCATGTTGGTCAGTAATGATGGAGTCATGTTGGTGAGTAATAATGGAGTCATGTTGGTAATAATGGAGTCATGTTGGTCAGTAATGATGGAGTCATGTTGGTGAGTAATAATGGAGTCATGTTGGTAATAATGGAGTCATGTTGGTCAGTAATGATGGAGTCATGTTGGTGAAAAATGACAGAGTAATGTTGGTAATAATGGAGTCATGTTGGTGAGTAATGACGGAGTCATGTCGGTGAGTAATGACGGAGTCATGTTGGTGAGTAATGATGGAGTCATGTTGGTGAGTAATGATGGAGTCATGTTGGTGAGTAATGATGGGGTCATGTTGGTGAGTAATGATGGAGTCATGTTGGTGAGTAATGATGGAGTAAGGTTGGTGAGTAATGATAGAGTCGTGTTGGGGAATGATGATG